ATGGAAAAGGCGATGCCTGATGCTTATTGAATATTAACAGCAACAGATGGCCAGCAGGCTGATGATTAAGTATAAAATATAAAGTTTCAAACGCACGTAACTGTTGAACAAGTTTTTCGCCAGTCCCCAGCTATCCCCGGTGTATTCATATATAGCGGCTAAATTTTGTTAATCCCCCACTATGTCCCGGGGGTGGGGGGTCCATGGTTTCAAATGACTGAAGCATAATATGGAAAATAAATGTTCGCTCAAGCCTGTCTGCCTGTGAAGCGTGCTACCCTGCCAACCCTGGGTCAGGGGGTTTTGCTGTTTTGCTGAAGCTGTAGCCTGTACTCAGGCAGTGCTGGCCAAACTTGGAAACCCCCTGAGCGTGATGTGTTGATTGATTGATCATGCCGAACCAATCGGATGTCTAGGGTCGGATATTGACCCTAGGTAGACATCTGATTGGTTCATCGGCAAACATCAATAAGGGGCCACATCCATATTCATGTTGCCACAAATAACGTCGAATTGACGTTATTACTTCAAACTTAGAAGTACTAATTCACTAACTATCAGTATTTATTTCACAAGTATTAAAATGGGTCATTCCAGAAAACATCCATACCACCCACATAGGAAATTGGAAGTTAACCCCCCTACCCCCTTCGGATGTCCTAATACATTTACTATTATCAGAAATAATTTTGTCTCCCCCTCCCCTTCCAGACAGCAGAAATTTCCTCTGTGAGGGGAGTGTGGATCTTTTCTGGAACGACCCAATATGTACTTAACTTCTGCTTGTATTTTGAACTTGTAACTTGAAACTGCATAGAATAGACGGGTCTGCCAATTGTAATCAATAGTTTCGAGACAAAATAGACAGCCGCTGCACCAGTTCATTTGAAACCTTCCCAGAGAAAATGTTACATTAATTTTCCACTTCCAAATACAACAGTCTGTGTAACATTGTCAAACACAACAAAATTGGTCAAGGGAATATGTTAGAGCTGCTCCCAATTAATCGATTAATTGATTATTTTTCCACAATCGATTACACTTAACAGTAATCGGATAATCTATAACACCCTACAGCTTGATGCAGCAATGAGTTAATTTCTTTCTGGATTAAAAAATTGTGACAAGATTGTGATTGAAACATTATAGACGGCCGGCCAAAACCTGAAAATGTGCAACAAAATTTGTTTGATGGCATTTTCTGTTACAAGCTGCCAACTGATATTTTCGTAGAGTATATGCATTAACGAACAAGACTAGACATGTTGGCAACTCCAATTTTGGCTTTATAGATGAAAATTTGAGAATTTGAAAATTTTGCCTATAAAAAGTACTATGATGAGAAAAATGCAAAATTACAAGTTCACGTTTAACAAAAATAAATTATACCATTAGAAAGTTCGCAAAAAAGGATATATAAGACATCTAAGCGAGTAGTATGATTTTTGCAGCCCATTGTGAGCTTTTAACACTGGAAAATGAAGAAAATGCGCCAATTGATGCCGATAGTTACTATTTTGCCAACTTTAAGCTCCTTTAACTCAAAACTGGCTTGAAAATTCACACTACTCGCTTAAATGTCTTATATATACTTTCCTGCGATCTTCCTAATGGTATAGATTATTTTTGTGAACAGTGAATTTGAAATATTGTATTTTTAGCCAACATAGTACTTTATTACGCAAAATTTTAAAATTCTGAAATTTTCACCAATGTATAAGCTATAAGAAAATACCAGTTGACAGCTTGTAACAAAAAATGCCATCAGAGTGTACATTTCAGAATGTTGGCCGGTCGCCTATTAAATGACAATTAAATTGATTCAAAACATTGTGGATCAAATATCAATTCCACTTGCAGCATGCAAAGTTTACCATAGTCTGATCGGGTTTACCAGTGCTGCGAAAAAATATTTTTTATTAGAAGAATTTATCACCATAATTTGCATCCAACATTATGGCATATGGCTTAATTGTCTCTATCTTTTCATGCATGTCTCTTGTGTGAAGTGTAAGAGCACAAGACCTGAGCAATCTATAATGTGATTAACGTTCATGTTCAATGCAGATTTAAGATGTTTATACTGACTTGTGCAACCCCAAAAAATTTAGTAGAAAGTTTAATTACAATTTACAAAGCTGTCAAACCATCATGGGCTTGTGATATTTAAATTAATTATGAATACGATTAATCTATTCAATATTAATCGACTGTTGACAACGATTACTGTAATCGATTACAAAAATTAACCGATGGGAGCAGCTAGAGCTGTGCAAACTCCGGTTATTTTAGCTCTGACAGTCAAAACTCTGGGTCCGGTGTCCCAGGATTTTCGCCCCCCCTACATTTTCGCCCCCCGGGGGGCAAAAATCCTAGGAATATCACCCCCCAGGGGGGCGAAAATCCTAGGAATTTCGCCCCCCTTTAGGAAATTCGCCCCCCTTTAGAAACTTCACCTTTTCTTTAGGATTTTCGTCCTCCGTTCAATATTTCGCCCTTCCTAACAGTTACATGGGATAATTATTACTCATGGCTTTAATCATTTGAAATCAGCATCAATTCAAAATTGTTAAGACAGAGCTTGAAATAACAACCGATCACCAATCGGCAAGGAATTGCTTATGATCGGCGGAAAAGCAGGATTTCGGTTTCCAACCTGAAAAAAGCAGGGAAAGTCATGACTGCCGATCACCATGATCGTGAACTTTGCGGGGAACGTTTATTATTTCAAGCCCTGCATGTAAGAATACAAATTTACAATTACATGTATCGAAAGGGCTTATACACAGTTACAGTAGATCAATAGGATCTTACGACGCTTCACAGCACACCATGCATATTTTGCATTTTCAGTGTTAATCCTTAAACTCATTGTTAAAAAGCAATCACCGTGGTATTATTGTATTGTTTTGCATTCACGTTTTGTCGTTATTGGAAAATGTGTGGCTTATAAGTTGTCACTATTTTTTACTTGCATTATTTCAATATGGTTTGTAAATCTCAGAAGCGAAGGGTAGAACTTGCCAATAGGCAATACTCCAATAATATACGTTTCAACTAAAAGACAGAAAAGCTTTTAGTTTTGCCGAGTTACATTTTCAAATGTTTAAGGCACTAATAAAATCAAAGTATCATGAAATTATTTGAATAAACCACACCACATATATAATGCAATTTTCTTTGTGGAAGTCAAGAATCAAGATTACATCACTAACACTGACATGGAAAGTTGATGATTCAACGGACAATAGTCAATACGCTTCCCAACACATTCCATAGTTTTTTTATTAATCCTATAGTTTATTGTTAGCAAGTGATTAGTGCACTAATTACTGTGGCGGCTATTGTTAACACTGGTATTGATAAAATTTGCAAGCGATTGTTTTTATAATATGTTATGTGATGTAAACTGCCAGAAGAATACGACAACATGATTTTATGCGATCTCTGTGGGCAATGGTCCCACTTTAGATGTGTAGAATATGACACTAGTTAAGTACCTCAAATGAGTGGTTATGCAGACTGTGCAGTGTGCACACTACCAGCTGCTAAGAAGCCTAAAATGTGTATGTAATTCTGTTTTCTTGTAATAAATAAATAAATCACACAATAAATCTTTTCAACGTGCAATCGTTTTGTTTTTGATCAAAAATTCAAAATTTATATGGGTGGGGCGAAATTCCTAAAGGGGGGCGATATTCCTAGGAGATTCGCCCCCTGGGGGGCGATATTCCTAGGAGATTCACCCCGGGGGCGAATATCCTAGGAATATCGCCCCCCTTTTGAGAGGGGGGGCGAATCTCCTGTGACACCGGCTCCGGCAAGGAAATTTAAAGGAAATTTCATATTTAAAAGTAGAAGCAGGCAAAGTATTTCAGTGTAATTTCAGAATTTATTTTATTCCTTTTTGAGCTTTCTCCTCTACTTATCAAATATACGTCCTTTGGTGCTTGTTTAAACGACGTTTTGTAGAAAGTAAAACCGCATGGCAGCGTGGTATTTTCGCCCAAATACATTGGGGTCAGTGGATTTTTGTATCAAAAGCGATAGCAATGCGCTTGCAGAATTTTTGAAGCCATGAATCAGATCGGAGCAAGTAATTATAGTAACTTCAAATCATTCAACTTAATTTTTCCATTACCAAAAGTTCCGCATTGAAATATGAAATAATTTTTCATAATTTTGTCTGCTGGAGTTTTCCAACTCTGGCTTCGGGCAAAATATGCCGCAGCTCCGGCTCCGGTGCATAGCTCTAGGAGCAGCTCTAGAATATGTTCTTGTTGAATGAGTTTGAATACGTACTTGAGTTCACCCTTCGGAGTCCCGGAAGTGTGAAATGTTAATAAATTACGTCTTGGAAATGAAATTCGACAGACCTGTTGCGCCCAGAGGTTTTGTCAGCCTTGTCACCTCCTAAAACTTACCTGAAACTAGAAAACCTGTGAACCCAGGGTAGTGAAGTGCAGTCACTTGCAGGTACATTCAGACAACATTGTCTATTTTTACATGGACCCAAAAGTTTTTTTTTAAATATTGGCGTGATCAAAGACAAATGTTGGCAGCATACTTTCCAGTGTAGAGTTTACATGGAATGCACCCTGGATTAGCTTACCAGTGCTTGTTAAGTATATATGTGTGAGCATAGTCAATTGAGGACATATGTAGTCTGGAAACTTTGAAAACCTCAAAGGATTTAATGCTTACTGGTAATTAATTAAACAGCACAAATGAATGATTCGTAAACTGACTTGTCGGATGAAATTTCTGATTTCATGACAAAGATTTCAGTCCAGGCTGCCAGGATGAAAATTATTGCCATGTAATCAACAAGAAATTTCAACACGGGCTAATTGTATACAATTGTGAACATGGCAAACAATGGAGCCACTGGAGTATAAAGTCGCAAGGAAAACAAAAACAAGAGATTTCATTGGAATCAAAGGGGATGTACAGTACAGTAACTCTTACTGTATTCATGTTTGGCAAATAACGAGAGTACAATGGAGTACAACAAGAGTGATTTTTCTGCAGATAAAATAAAGCAATACAAGGCTGTTACTAGGCAATCAATGGCTAGAATATATGCTGACCAACCATCGTTGTTTGGTGCTGTGCATGTGACTCCTTTGGAGATGGTTAACAATTCATGAGGATGACTTCGACGAAAAAGCAAGAATCTTAGGAAGAAATATTAGCAGCAAAATATAATACAAAAACACTGAAATGCAGGAGAAAAATGTTCCGAGGCTTGTAAAGATTGCACTAACTTCATACCAAAGGCGTTTTCTGTCTGTGGTTGGGCATGGCAAATAATTTTTCATAATACAGTGTGGCATTTAAATCCTCCCGGTACAGTCAATACTGTTTTAGGAGTAGTTCATCAATAAAAAGCATTAAAGCTAAAACAAGGCACCATAACAACAATTCAGGAGTAAAACAAAACTTTTTGCATCTTCCAATGACTACAAGCTTTTATTACTTGCTGTTATTTAATTCTGACTCACCGAAATGCTGAAGAACCACTTTTTTCTCTTTTTCATAGGTGATGGCTTTGTGAAACATGACATATCACAAATATCTAATGGGAAATTGTACTTCTACTCTGAGAAAAGATGGAATTCTGCCAAGGAATCATCCTCCTGTCAAGACAAGCTTTCAGCAGCAGAATTCTCATGTAAGTTAAAATAGTTAATTTTGTAGCACTGTGCAGCTACGCAGTTTAAAAATTTGTACAGTACACTATTTGTCATTTATTTATCCAACCTCGTAGTATACAATACTGTACCCAGAATTTTTTTTTCTGAGATCCTCACTGTTACATGGTTAACCCATTCAATGCCAGCACTCACCCCCGGACGAGTAACATTATCTATTAAGTATTGTTAGACAGAGTAAAAGAATAATTTTTACGCCCACTTTCAATTTTTTGGCCCACTCTACAGTAAAGTTTAAGTTTTTTGGCCCACCCCGGACCTGTTGAAAATTTCAAATGTTTGGCCAACTCTAAAATTTCAGTTTTTTGGCATACCCCAGACCTGTCGAAAAATTCAGAATTTTTGCCCATGCCAGCTCTAAAATTTCAAATTTTTTTGCCACCTTGGACCGGTCGTAAAATTCACATTTTTTGCCCACCCCGGACCTGTCGAAAAATTTCAAATTTTTGGCCAACTCCAAAATTTCAGATTTTTTGCCCGCCTCGGACCTGTTGAAAAATTCAGAATTTTGGCCCACCCCGGTGACCCTTTCTATTAGTTGGAATCCTAGTGTACAGTACAAGGTCTAGTGAAAGATTAGCTTTTGCTAAACTGGCATATTTCTTATAAATTATCCTTCTTTAAATAAAGTTTAATAGTACAGTAAGCTTTCTTTATTTACAAAGTCTTTGATCCCTCTCCTCACAACAAATGATCTGATTCCCTTAAGCTCTCCTGAATCTGTGTAGAAAGGTGCACCAGAAAAATAAAGTAATTCTTAAGTACCCAGGTTCAGGTAACTCATGATATCATCTGAATCATGATATCATTACTGTACTGTACATGGATGTTAGTAATTTACAGTATCTTGAACTCATGGTACTTTCTAAATTGAGAGCCTGAAATTTGCATTACCCCAATATTTGCATTACCCCAATAATAGTTTTAAATTTGCATTACCCCAATAATAGTTTCAAACTCTGAAAGACTTGCATCCCAACTAACTGGATATTATAAAATTTCAAACATTATGTAAAGTATGTGCAGTAGCTATTAATTAAACATTGAATGTCTCTAGTGTTCTCCTGTTAGCATTTGAATACCTTATACAACAGAAGTTTGTCGAAGGTTTATAAATGTGAATTTTACTGTTGTGTATTAATGAAGCCAACTTGTTTACTGCGTAATTGTTCACTGTTGAATCCCCTGATTTTCCTCACTATTACAAATTACAAAGTTATAAAATTGGTACTTGGTTAGCCTGCTTGCTTAGTTAGCCTATATAGTACTTGGTTGGCTTGGCCTGGAAATAATTCTTACATTATCCAATATTCCAAAATTGGATAACGGAATCTCAGGGGATACTAAAACTAATATAATTAACTATGAATCAACTTAACCCAGAGTCACCATATAAAATACTAGTCATGCATTGTTTGTTTTTCTTCAGGGAGTTCCATTTACAGACGTATAAGTTATAGACTGATATAACTTCACCAGATTAATCTTGTTTATCCTTTTTTCTGCATTTTCTTCGCAGTTGAAATATCAAACATGACTGGGGAGCACAGGTTTGTTCCATGGGAAATGATTGACCATTGGCACGTCGTTTATGCAGATAGCAGCACTTGTGATAATTCTGCCGGCCTGTTTGCTGATATCACTTACACAATCCAGTTAATGAACAAAGATAAACAAGGCAATCCCGTGGAGCATTTTAGTTATGAAGAAGCAGGTAAATGGAAGTGGAATGTGCTATGGTATACTATATGAATAATAAACAAAGTTACTGCGAATAAGTCGACCACAGTCACCTGAGTGGAATTATTTCCGTGTTCATATGTCTGTTTTTATCCCATCTAATATCCTGCCTCAGTTGGATGACATTATGTTTACAATGCCGTCTTCAAAATATTTCTTGTTGTAATTAAACTAATAATATACCTGAAAAATTTTCTCAATTTTGATTGGCTAAGAACAATGCAATTTTTTCGAAATACAGTGCCAAAAAATGAAATATAGTGCAAAAAAAAGAAATACATTTTTTATTTTTCAAATTTCTTAATTTCTAAATGTGACTTACGCACGTGACTGCATAATTTTTTCATGTATAATATTAATAAGTAATAGTATGGTTTCTCGTGTAATTTGAAAAAAAAACATACACTCGTGAGTTATTCAAAGACTTCAAATTTTGATAGTCTGTGAAACTATCGGACATGGCTCGTTTCTCATTAGCCCGCGTGCAGGACCAAGGGAAGAATAGTGGGCCTGCAAGCAAGGCCCGGTATTTTGTAAAACGCCCCTTTTCATAACACGCCCCATTCGCGCGTCAGTTGTCAAAAAAGAACCAATGACAACAACCCAAATATTAACAAACAAACTCGCATTAAAATGTTACGGGGTTTTCTCTACTTTAATATTCAAAATAGAAACAATGTGTAAATGGCTGTGTTTTAACTCCAAAAAAGCAAGCAACGCAATCAGTAATTTGCAAGTGCTCATTTTCAACTAAAATCGGAACGGGCAAATTAGGACGAATTTCAACAGAAAACCAGTCTCAAACTTCAAATCGTGAGGGAAGTCGTGCGACCACATTAACAGTTAAATGTCCGGCGGTGCTTCGCTGTCGCCGTTGTTATAAATAAATTGTCTCACTTATCAGATCGTGTGACTGTGCAATTTTTGTTGGCGGCGGAAAGTACGAATTTATTTCAGTTATTTCATTTGGTAAAGAACTCCACAAAAGAAGAGAGGGTTCAGAGTCCAAATCGTTTCGTTTCAAACGGCAATTACCGTCTTCTGTCTCGCTCTCTCATGCAGCGAAGCCCTGCAAATCGCAAAGTGTTTCGAATAGTCTTTATACATGCAACTGCCTCTAAATCTTCACCGCGAAAAGCGCTGTTTTCTTCAGTTCAAGAACAGAGTCAACATCAACCAAAAGATAATTTTCTTGAGGAACATATAACATATCAAGTCTGTTTGAAATTAATGAAACTCAAGTAAAGGTTACTATAGTTTACCCCGGCAGTCGTATTAAATGTTGCTATTCCAACACTTCACGACAAGCAATCCCCATTGGCATAACGGCAAAAACATCTCTTCCTTCAAGTAAACAATAAACAGTCTGTTCTTGTTCCATTTTTAATCGAAAAAAGTGATCAATTTTCGAATTTTAAGCTTATCGAGAGCCTTTGTGATGAATCAGTGATCTAGTTATAGAATCAAACAGCAAACAGCCAATCAGAATGCCGCGTTCGTGGGCGAACGCGGAAAGTACAAAATACCGGGCCTTGCTTGCAGGCCCACTATCCTTCCCTTGGGCCTGCACGTGGGCTAGTTTCTCATATGAACACAAATCGAATATTAAAACAAAGTTGGTATTTTGCGTCTGGGCAAGGTGATAGCAACGTTAGATGGAGGAGAGGTGGCAGAAACCTAATGAAATGAGTTGATAGTGTTTTCGTCTATTCTATTAACAATTTTGTCCTTGACAGTCAAACATGGTACTGTAAATGTACGGTATATTACTATATATATCATGCAAGTACACTGAGTCACTGACATACTCTTTTAATATTGCAAAAAATGTACATGCACCTGCATGAGAAGCTAACATTAAAGCGAAAACGTTTAAGAAGAGTTTGGGTGTTTTTCTTTATGAATGATGTTTTTTTTTCGGTTTGACATTGATAGTTAATACCTTTTGTCATTTCCATAGATTAGGTACAATATGAAAGCCTGGTTTACATGCACTATCAAAGTTCCTTCGTTGATCACAGTAGGAATTTTGCATAGGTAAATTCTATGTTTCGAAAGATTCGTAAGAAATGGTTGAGGGAACTGACTCGGTGTTTAAAGCCCGTTCTCCACTGCACTAGGCGAATTTGTTCGCGCGAACAGTAAAAAAGTAGGAACTGATCCAACTTTTTTGCGGCGAATTTTTTCGCTGACCAATCGGATTACATTGCCAAGATTTGTTTTTCGCTTCGCGTCGCGCGAAAAAATTCGCCTAGTGTAGAACGGGCTTAACACTGATCACACTGACTTACATGCGCAAAATCCCCACTGTGATCACAGAAACTTTGATAGTGTAAAGCAGCATTAATTTTTAATTTCTTATGTACGACTGCAAGTTCCTATTGTATAATTTGTATTACTGTAGACAGACTACAAATACTTTAGAGGACAGTTAATTTCTATATCTAATTTCAATCTTAATTTATAGGTCTCTTGGCCTTCTACAAGGTTATTACATTAATTTATTTTATCACTGGTTCATTATATGGACAGAGACTTTGGCAGACTATTAGCAAAGGAGGACCAATGCACCAGGTTTGTTGAATTATACATATTTTCCGACATAATATCACCACGTAGAGGATGCTCTACGTATAGAGGATGCTCGACAACTGGCCTATATAGGTGACTTTTCTTTGTTGCTCCCTTCTTGCCACACTACGCAAACTTGCGACGCTTGAATTGTAGTTCCTGCATCGTGAACGACGCACGTCGCAATATGGTCGCAACATAGCTGCTAATAGCGACCCAGTGAACTGTAATAACACTGGAACGCTAACTGCAGATAAACATGCCCATACTTGCCTGAAGCCAAAATGGCGCTTCTCGCAAGCACGGCCAGCAATAAATTAACTTTCAAAAGGACTGGGGAGAGTTTCGAGGAGCTTTTTTATCAAAAGGCTTCAACTTTAAAGATTCAAACCTGGTTTCCTGGATAGTTCTAAGTATTTTACATCCACTAACAGCAAAAACTTCCTGGGTAACAGCTTGATATTCAAAATATTACACAAGTTTGAACGTGCCGAAAAAAACTTCGCACTTTGACTCCTGAAAAAAGAACTTTATAACTGCTCTACAGTACGTTCTGGAAACATGTTTTGTATTAAATTTCAGGTATTGTTGAAAGTTTTTAGCTTTTTTCCTTGTTGAAATACAGCTATTTAGTGGTCGAAAACAGACATCTTTTTGGTGGCGTATTTTCCACTCCATACGTACATGGCGGCCTTCAATTTGGTTTCAAAGATGGCCGCCAAGTTATCGTTCCAGTTCCCTTAGAGTTCACTGTAGCGACCTTAGGCATATACAACGCCAGCGCTACCACGGTGGCAACCAAACTCGTTGAGCTAAATGATGTAAGGAAAATCTGTCTTCTATTATCCATCGTATGAAAGGAATACGGCTTATGGATCGGGTTAAATTAAGTCAAGGATTTAGAGTCGAAAAGAGTTCTAGGATTAAATTTGAAATAACCGTTGTCCCAGCTTGAAATATAGCCGTTATATACAAGACGCGATAATCTGCGAGTTGATGTTGTTAACAGACGACATGTAATACCTCTATGAGATTGTTAATTAATCATTTCTTTTCTACAATATTATGATTGCCGTTATACTAAGTTTCTAATATCGGTAGTTGAAGTGTAAAATTGAAAGCTGTTTCTTTTCACGTCCCCGTACTAGATTAAGCCTTGGCTGCCTTGCTTAAGTTCGCTAATACGCTCGAAGGATGGTGTCATCAGCATCTTGTTAACAGCATCTTGTTAACAGCATCTAAGCTACATGTATGTAAGGATACTACAGTACAAGCATTCATGAGTTGTAATGAAATTACTCTTTTGAACTTTTCAGGTTATCAAAGAATTATCTGTTGGAGTAATTTATCATGCACTAGCGACATTGTTTATGTTGACAAAGTTGCTTTGGTAAGTACATTAACCATATATATATACACTATATTATTCTCACCAACGCCTAGTGTGCTGGATATTACAAAATTCCAAACATTACTGTATGTACAGTAGCTAATTAAACATTGAATGTATCTGGTGATCTCCCAATAGCATTTGAATACCTTATACAGAAGTTTGTTGAAGGTTTATAAATGTGAAATTTACTGTTCTGTATTAATGAAGCCAACTTGTTCGAGCGAGAACTCGAGTCCAAAAAGTGAAGCGAAAATGTAAATTGAGGTGCTATTGGACGTCATGCAGTTCCACTTCCTTTCTATTGTTTTTGTCTGCGCGGTTAACACGAAGCTGGCAAGGAGTGTACCGAAATTTGGTATTTTGACATCGATTTGAAGAATAGCACTGTGTCTATGGTTTTATGAACTGATATCTTGTTTAGCGATACGATCCGTTAGAAAAATATTGAACTAGCTGGGAAAATGGTAGAAACTGTTTACGACCTTCAGAGCTACAGTACTGGACGTCAATTTCCGCCATCTTGGCTTCACTTTTCTCATAGGCCGAATGACTGAAGTTCTTACTCCACATATATAGAATTCAGTGCCTACGGGGGGATAAATTACTAAGACTACGTTGACACTACGCCGGATTTGTTTGAAAACTGCGCTGAAAAGTCACAATTTGCCGTCGCGTTCCCATTACGCCGGAGCGAAATTGTTTGAAAACGTCATTTTTGCCATGACAATTTGAGCGCGGTTTCTAAACGGAGCGAGATGAATAAGGAGCGCTTGGCGGCTTCGTGTGTGAACAAACGCCGTTACTTTTTTTGTACCGTTTTCAAACCAAGCATCTCAGATCTCAAAACAGTAAATTCGAATGCCTTTGGTTTAAATTTCTTTGCTCTATTTGAAATATTTTGGGTTTACACGAGTGCTAATTTAGTTTGTAACCAATCTGTAACGGCGTGGTGTGAACACACGACGTAAATTCTGCCCGCATTATTTCGCTCCGGTGTACTGTGAGCGTAGTCTAAATTGAGCGTCGTTCATGTATGATCGATACCCATGGGGGAGAACTTGTGGATGGGGCGATATACAAATCAATGTATTTTGGATGCAAAAGTTTTTTTGGTAATACCCATATAGTACGCAGGAAATATACCCATAGTACGCAGCGTAGTCGTCTACGCACGTAAAACTCTCACAAGATGTGTTCGCAACAGGCTTGTGGCACGTTTGCCAACAAGTTGTAACAATGCTGTCATTTTATCAAGTTGCTACAAGGTTGTCACTCACAACTGTCTTGTTGACAAATTGTTGAATTGCAGGACGATAACAAGTTGTTGGAACAACTTGTAACAAGTCTGTTGAGCTCACCAACCTTGTAGCAAGTTGTCAACAAGCTGGGAACAAGCAGTGCGAACACATCCTGTTGACAAGTTGTTGGAACAGCATTGCCACAAGTTTGCTGCAGGTTTGTTACAACTTGTGCGTTTTTACGTGTGTAGAATAATTACAGTATACCCAAGCCGTAGCCATTGCTGCTACAGTAACTTCCCAGGCCGTTCCTCGAATTATAGTGAAATTGAAAATCGGCTCATCGCTTATCAGTTTCATATAATGCGCGCGTGTATCGGTTTATGTTCATTTATAGGTATGCACAAGATGGGAAAGAAAATTCGTATCTTAGTTTGGTAGTAATAGGTGAGTGAAGCATAATCGAAATTACTAAGTACCGGTTTCAATCGGTAAGCACCCGGTTTCTTATGCGTATTTCAGATTAATATTTTCCATTGATCCTTAGGATAACAAATTTTCATCACATAATATGTTTCGTCACATCACATCAACCTGCTCGCTTGTATTGTGTTTACAAGTTTTCAAGATTTTTCATTGCCATGCATGCAGAGACCGTTGCAAATTTCTATAAATCTCATTGTCTTAAAATCGTGGACTTTCTACCTGTCAATGAAAAAATAAGTAAACCTTTCAGTTTATTATTTCGTCTCTACGCCGTCCCGTGAACGGTATTAGAGACCTTACGATTTTAGGACGGCAACGCGACGACGACGGCCAAAACAAACTCTTTCAAATAAATGGTAGTAAAGATAATTCGTCGTACATTATCAATCGTATGAATTTAATACAGTCTTAGAAGTTGAAGACATGGGTTTTATGGTTGGGAAGAGTTCTCCTGAACCCAGTTTGAAGTTGCACTTGTTGCGGCTTGAAATGGAGCCGTTGTATCGAGACGTGAAAATCTTTGATTTGGCGTTGTAAACAGAGCGAGGACAATGTCTAAATTATTGATATATCAGTTGTAATTTTTCAATTCTTTTCAATGATCTATTGTATTGGTAGCCGTTGCCGTCGCGTTGCCGTCCTAAAATCGTAAGGTCTCTATTATCGACAATGCAATACGCGGGTAAATGTAGATGCCTTGAAATCAGTGTACATCAGGGCACTTATATAGTGGGCGGTGAAACGGCTACAGGAGCGCTGATCGATGTGTAATGGAGGGGATTGGTAACGAGATAACCTTCGTTACCATACTGACATTTTCATCTTTATTTGGCGGGAAAGGTGAATACAACTGAGCTGGATATTCTTTAGTATTTTAGTTGGTCAACAAATGGGTACTCATTTGGTCTACAAATACATAGGTATCGACTGTCGAGCTTAAAAATCCGTACAGTATATGTTCAAGTATCTTTGCCAATTTTCTGGAGATTTGCTCGAAACGCGCTAGCGAAATATTTTTGTGAAAAATGTTTTTAAAATCTTCGCATGCACTGCTGTATACACGTATAGTTCACGTTCGATAAAATACAACCGGTGATACATTTTAGCTGGTATAGCTGATCTTTTCAATAGAATGTAAAAAGATTCATCACAAAAAGTCGTCTTGACTAAGTGAGCACAAAATTTCTAGGATGGGATCATAATTTCTCGACTACTGCGCTTTCGGCTATATACGTCTCAGTACTGTATAAGTCGTACCTAACTTGAATAAACTGGCCAGAAAGTAAAATGTGTTGACAGTTCACAGTTACTTCAATAAACTGCTGTGCAAAAAAAAAATCAACTCCGATTGTTTTTAATTGTGGAGATATAATGTGAGGTAGCTAAACAACATTTTGAAATCTTGTTTTGAAATTTTCCCTCGAACGAGGGCTTCAAAGAAACCATCATCTTTCAACTTTATACTGTTTATGGGCCAAACAAGCATTCATACAAAAACATTGGTTAAAAATGTCATATTTAAAGAAGAAAAAACCCAGCGATATTAAATATGACAGTGTGCAAAATTCCACCTCATCGTCAAATTTTGCCGAAAAGCACGCTCGTGTCAGCCCTCTTCCGCATCACACGTCGATAAGCGCGCTATGAGCGCGTTTCACCGCCCACTATTTGACGCCCTGGTGTACAGTCGGCATGTGTTTTCACGTGTTTAACCGGTGCGTACAGTACTTCATATGTGTGTTTTCTTTATTTTAGTGTTTCAGTCGCTTGCCGAATTTAAGATGCTTGACATGTCTATTAAGGTATCCTTTGGATGGATGCTTGGTTCGTCCAAAAATGTCATGGATGCGACGTTATTGCGACAAATTCAGTTAGTTGTGGGAACGGTTACATTTCTAGAGGTACGTTGCTGATTTTAGTACGCTATTATAGAGAGCATTTGCGGGAAAGATTGAAAGGTTTGATCGTTTGTTGCTATTCGGAATTTAAACATCTTCTTATAATAAAATAGAGTCATCCATCGTTGTTTTGCCAGGCACTATAGTAACTGCAGTGTGGTTTTCCTGAGTTGCTGCAGTGTGGTTTCCTGAATTGCTGGAGCGTCCACCAATCAGAACACAAGAAACGCCACATGTGGTCTTCTTTCAAACGTTTTAAAACCGCTTATGCATGCAGTAAATTTCATTTTAAGTCATCCGCGTCAGATGTTTCAATCCGGGCTAACCCGCGGTTATCTGCAAATGACTCCAGCAATAACTACTTGCAGAGGTGAAAAAGTATATCGGAACCGATCTGCATTTTACAGGATTTTTCACAGACATTTTTTTATGCTTGATAGCTAATTCTGAAAATCCCGCTGAGTGAATACAAATATGTGTAATTAATCTGCTAACTCGATACCTAAATTATAGGGTAACAGTTTCATTAAAAATATTTATGAGGACTTTGTTTTTAATCCTACAAGACTGTAACTACCATGACTGTATACTTCGTGATTTACTGTATCTTGTATGGGTAAATATCAATATTTTGTTGGCATCTCACTCGATTGAATAACAGTTGACGGATATTGTAGATGGGAATTATCGAGTGGAAATTTATATACTGTACATCTACATGCAGAGTGTCTAAAAAAAAACGCTATGGAAATTCAAAGGCTGTCGTGCATCATAAGCTTAGCTGAACAATTCAATTTTTACGTAGGACGAAATTGCTGTTATTTAACTTTTCTATGATGCCTTAAATTTTTAAATCGTAACAATGAGAAATGGCCACATACTCGAAATCACATTCTTCCACCGTTGGGAATTGCATGGAAAACTTAAACGAAACATAGAGAATTCCCAAGAGGGAATTACAGTAAAGTTGAATGTTAAATTATCTAAATTTCGTTTTCTCAGGTGTAAATAGCCGGGCGGAATTAGTACCCTCGCCCCGGGCTTACGCCCAGAACGGCGCTCCGCGCCGTTGCCTAGGGGATTAGATCTAGCTAGGAACAGCTGCGAACGATGCAACGTTATAGGTCCCTGGCAGTAATCGAACCTGCGGTCCTGCGATTCCGGTGCAGCACTCTAACCAACTGAGGCCAGTTGTCGAGCTCTAACCATAAGTTCATGTATATATATATATACTAGGGTACTGCCACGTGTATATCAATATTTTGTTGACATCTCACTCGATTGAATAATAATTGACCTGGTTAGGTCTGATAAATATATAAAAATTTCCACTCGATAAGTTCCATCTACAATACCCGTCAATCGAGTGAGATGCCAACAAAATATTGATAATTACCCATAATCTATACACGTGGCAGTACCCTAGTATATATACATGAACTTGTGGTTAGAGTTCGACAACTGGCCTATATAGGTGACTTTTCTTTAAAAACTCAAGGCCTCAGTGAATCCTTTACAGGAAGTCCTTCTCATCATGAACTATACACTATATTTTAATATGTCAATTCCCGTTGTCGTTTTTTTTATAGCTAGTCCTGTCTCTATGGAATCATATATTATTGCTCTGCATTTGCAAGTGTTTAGTGGTTGGAGTTGTGGTATTTAATATAAAAGGAAAGTTGAGTGAAGAAAGGAGCAGCTTGCGGAAAGATTTTTACACTAGCGTGGTTAAGGTAAGATTTCAAATAATATTACATTGTACTACCCTGACTGCTGGTTATTCAAAGCTAGGTTACCTTAACCCTAGATTAACGTAAATGTAAAATTGAAAGCAAACTTCCTGACAGCTTGTTTTCCTGACAGCTTCTCTGAAGTTTTGAAATAAACAGGCGTGCAGAAATACACAAACTATAAAACAGCAGGTTACATTTTAACCCAGGGTTAGCGCTAACCCACCTTTGAACAAAGTTTATATACAAGCTGCTGGGAAGTATACTTTGAATTTCACGTTAACCCAGGGTTATACTGTAACCGGTTTTTTGACGGGCCGGTTGTTCAAAAGCCGGTTAGCTTAATCCTATAGAAATCTTGTCTGGTCAGTAGCGGTTCTCTTTCCTGAAGTTTTGAAATAAGCAGACGTGTAGAAATACAAACTAAAAGAGAAGGTTAAATTTTAACCGAGGGTTATAGCGTTAATAGGATGTGGATTCGCGCCATCAGATAACCATGCATGCATCCACTCTAATTTCTGGCCTCCGTTCTTATTTTTTATAAGCCTAGTGCATGAAGTCATGAATTAAAGAAAATAAACACGGTGCTTATTTGAGGTGCATGTGAATATAAGGCCAATGATAAGAAGCTGCTTTAGTACAGTACATCTAATGATGCTCGGTTGCCAGAGAACCTATAGCTGCTCCTGCCCACAGAGGGCCTGCAGAGGGCCGATAGTTGCATTTTGTCGCAGCTCCTTCTGGTTAGGTCTGAAAATTGTATCTAACGTTCCGCTCGAAATTTTCATCTTCGAAAACCTATAGCTGCTCCTGCGTAGTTAGGTCGAAATTTCCTTCTGCTAGACCCTTAATTCAACTGTTAGTTCTATCGAGCGAGATGCCCCCAAAAATCTTTATTTATTTTTTTGTCTAGAGCTGCTGTCTTTGGTTTCTGGCTTTGCCTTGTTCAACTTTAATAACATTAATTCTTCCAAGTTATCATAGGTTAAAGGTAAGCGTGAATTTTACAATATTCCATGTTGGGAATGTTTTCGTCCCTGTTCCCGAGGTCAAAATATAGCTGTGCAACTGTATTCTGGGAAATGGGAGAAATTGTATAATAATAAGGTTTGGAGGCTTGTATGTGCCTCGACTAAGCGTGCCTTGCAGATACCTTCTTCTCGTGCAAGTACAGTAGACTCAATTCAATCTCTCTGGCATGCATGTGTTTTCCCCTATTCGTTGAAGATATAGGGCTTCGGTGGCGTAGTCGTCCGAGCAAGGGCCCTTCACCTCTGAGATCGTAGGTTCGATTCTCGCAACGGACTCATCTGAAAAGAGTCCGTCAACGCTCTGTCGAATATCGTGGGTTTTCTCCATGTGCTCCGGTTTCCTCCCACAGGGAAAGTTGACAGGGTGGGTTGGAATAGTTTGGGAAGTAATATCACAGTTGTTGTGAAGATAAATATAGTCTCAGCTAAATAGGTACTGTATATATAAGTACTGTAAGCGTATACATAATACATGATGTGATCGGTCACTGAAAAGCCCATAGATATCTTATATACTAGGTAGTGCATTTAATTATTCTGCAATTCAAAAATTGAAGCCGTGATTGCAGACTCAGGATATTCCCATGAAATGAGAAGACTCGTATGTTTTATATTTTTTAAACAGGGAACTTAAAAATTAAGTTAAACCTGTTCCAAATACATTTTCAAACTATTTAAATGATGAAAAATATTGTTTTTTAAGCGTTTATTAGCGAGTGGGAAACTCCAACATGGCCGCCATCTATTCAAATGGGGGTAACCGCTGGAATATTCTTGGCTTCAATTTTACTAAGAGAGATGCGCTATCTAGTGTATAGAAGATATCTATGGAAAAGCCCCGTTGAGGGGTGAGCTGAGTTATTTATAATAATAATATAAGTATAACGTGAATGCTTCTGCTGAAGTATTGAAGTAAAAATTGACCATGAAGAACAGAATCAACCTGTGTTCTACTGTGCGGTAGTGTTGAAAGACGAGATTTCAGGTTGGCTTAGGCTTCGACTTTTGAGTTGAAATAAGTAACAGGGCAAGTACTGCATGGTGTCAGGCATTGTGCATGTGTATTAAACGAGATGACCAGTATCTGACAACAACTGATATTCCGCTAACATGTGGCGGATAAACTGTATGCATGGGGGAAGCTAGACAGAGTGAATGTGCATGGGTAAACCATCTGCAGGGTGGAAAATGTCCCACTATATGGGCGCAACAACATATGGTTGACAGACATTATTCCTTGAATTTAAAACCATGGTCAGCTAGAACACCACATGTTTATGGCTTTATGCACATGCAGATTTAGCACAAAAATACTCCGTTGGTCTGCAGGAAATATTTGTCTCCAGGTTGTGCTCCCTGGAAGAAAAATCTTTTTTCCTGCCCTGCATGACCATGTGAACAACAGAGTACAAAGTATATATTTATTATATGAGAACTAAAATTAAGTAAAAAATGTGTGAAATATAGTTAAAAGGAGAATAGGATTAAAGGGCAAGAGAATAAGTAGAGTAGGATATAAAGCAACCCCGTAGGCATTTTGACCTAAAAGTCTTCTTCAGCAGGGATTTTGTGATTTCTATGTATACTGTATAACTGGTGTAATTGTGCAGGATTAAAGGAGAGTATTGGGGGTAATATGATGAAATATATAATGGGAATTAAAGACAATAAAATAACATACTGTTAATGAATTAGGTAACTTATTAAACTTATACAAACGGAATTAAATAAATGAAAAGTATTAAGGAAGATGAATTTCATAATTAACCTGGCTAAATGACGTCGGGATAAGTTGAAGTCGAACGTTTTTTTTGAAAGGGATTCTTTACGTATATAACATTTTCTTATAGATCAACACATTTGCTCAGCGTACTGCTGAACTGGTAGCCGTGTTTTTGCTGTATAAGTTGTTTTTGTCAAGAAGTTTATACTGGGAGGTGTCGTCGTTATCGTCTGCTACCCTGCCATTGAGGTTGGACAAAGCGTGTGGAAAAAAGAACTACGAAACATACAAAAGATGAAAGATATGCAATACAGAAACTGTCACTACTGATGCATATATTCAGGGCTTGAAATAGCGGGCTGCCAACGGCCAAAAGCAGCTGCCATATTTTAGAAATGGCAGGCAAAAACAAATTTGAACTGCCAAGTCAAAAAAAAAAATGGCAGGTGAAATAGATCATTTATAGGTGACTAAATACGCTAACTTTATATTTGAAATGTAAATCCAAGTTTACTGTAGTAAAATAGACAAGTTTAAAAATAATAAAAATGCATATCATGAAAACGTTGATTTTTACGGCATGACTCCATGAGACATTACAATATGATTTACCATGAGACATCCCCATTTTGGCAGTTCAATAAATAAAAATGGCAGGCTAAAATTTATTTCACCTGCCAAAAAAATTTGGACACGCAGGCATATTTTTTCTCTACTTCGAGCCCTGATATATTACATGCATGTATACAGTTGCGTCACTTGGATATAGAAATATGCGTGCATGCATGATATGCGCTTTTTAATTAATAAATATAGTATTAACATAACTATTCCAGAGAAAGTTAGTAAGTTTTTAAAATTACTGTCTAGTGTTACCAACAGTTAACTTAATAAAAACATTAATGTGTGTGTTATATAGCTTGCTTCAAATTACCACCAGCCCAACACTGGAGCTTGGTGCGTTCATCACACGGACATGTTTGTGTGGTCATAAATTAAGTCACGATCTTGGATGCCCGCGGCCGCATCACAGTAGCTTCTTGATCATAACTAGAAATACATGCATGCAGCATCTCCTCGCCCTCTCTAACCAAATAACTATAGACCTCTATAGTTCTATACATGAGGTATTTGTAATTGGCGAATTGCTCACCAAATGGTAGCCAACGTTTTGAGAAAATGCAAGCTATACAAATCAGCAAATCAATAAGAAGTTTGATAACCCCTCCCTCCCCCCTTTCCTTGTAGGTTTCTAGCAATTAACATTTTTTGAGTTGAATAAGGAAAAGTTTCGTTCTAGAAAACTTGTGACATGTGAAAGTAAAGGCCGCAAGAAAAAACTTGAGGAAGCTCGAGGAACGAAATGTGTATTGTTTTCTTCCTTTCAAATAAAAACTTCTTGTCACTTGAAATTTGCGCTGAGTCGCTTAGTTTAATGTGAATCATGGGTACACTCTGACATGGACGGAAAGCCTTTACGGGTTTTTAATCCAAAAGTATTCGACGGTCAATTGGTTATTTTACGATAAGTGCCCATGCAAGGGCTATAGTTTTCTTGGTGAGGGAGGAAAACCGGGGGACGCGGAGGAGAAACCTTTTGAAGCACAGGAGAGCTAACTAAACTATACTTATATGAGTCGTTTTCAAGCAGAGGATAGTTCCCCAGCCTAAGTAAATCCCCGCCGATCAACAGCGAAGATCAGCACGCTAACTGCAACTACCGCTTCTCATGGTGGATTCGCGCATTCGTAACCATCAACCTTTTAGGCTCAGCCTCGAATTTACCAGCGATACGATTGAAGTGGAAAACTGGCTTTAGCCGTGTGTAAATCCGTGATTCCAATTTCAGTGTAATAAACGCGAGTTCCTGCGTATCTGCGCCAATTATCATTTATATACCTGGAGCGAAGGCGATTTGGCGAATCCCCTGCCTCCTCCGCAGGCTCCTCTATATAGATCAAATTTAAATATCAATAATATATAGATCAGCGCGTGCACTGCAAGCCCGATAAATGATATATTATACCGAAATATAAAAGTCCCCAAGTTGAGAGTATAAAACTTGCCACATAAACTACGTGAATAAAAGCTTGTACTTCATCACTATAATTATGATCAAATCACCGTGTGATATGATTGAAAGATAAATGTCATGCTCACGTTGCACAAATTTAGATTTCTGATTGGACACTTTGAATGGTTAACTTCATCTATGAGATCAGTGGTTCACCCTCCCAAGGCAGTACCACGAGGAGGCAGTACTTTGCAATCGCCCACGTCTGGGTTCTTTAATTACTGTGTCCTATATGAATGAAAGTATCCCACTGTTCAATCAAATCCAATAGTTCTGCAGGGTTGACTCACTTTAAATTAGAGTGAATAATTATTTAAGTATACCATAGCCTATCGAAGGAAGATGGCTGTGAAACTAATTAGAATAACAATATAACTCATTATCTATGTTCGTCAACGTTTATTCATAAATCTGGTCCTTTACCGTCACGTGAATATTGTATTTTTGCCAAATCCACCAATAGCAATTAGCAGATTATCCTATTTGGCTATTACAAATTACCTTATTACAAATTACCCTATTGAGTATTGTTCGAGTCACGGATAGGTAACTTTCCTAAAACATTGCCATTGGTTAGTTGAGCAAAATGCAATACGCACGTGACGGTGAAGGACCAGATTTATGAATAAACGTTGACCAACATAGATAATGAGTTATATTGTTATTCTAATGAGTAATGAGTTTCACAGCCATCTACCCTTCGATAGGCTACGAGTATACTCAGTTTATTTTGCTTTACACAGAAAACAAAACATTCTAGTACAAAAATTATTTGATAACACATATAATAATATACATAAAGATATTACTCGACTGTGATTGGTTGATTTCAGGCAGTTAATCCCAAACAGCAGTGCAATTTTCTGTAATCACAGTAATTTTTAAAGCATTAAAATGCTTCTATAGTCTCTGCTGCATGTTTAATATAGATCGAGACCATACGATTTAGGACGGCAACGGCTACCAATACAATAAATCATTGAAAAGAATTGAGTAATCACAATATATGAATAATTATTTTGTGTGTGTTGGTGTTATGTACCAAGGTGAATATGATGTTTGTGATGTTACTCTGAGTGTGCATCCACACCGGGCAAGGATTGGGCTAGTATCCCAAAGGTCGCGGGTTCGATTCCCACCGTGGCCAAGCTAACTGTTCAGCTTGCCCGGTGTGGATGCACACTCAGAGTAACATCACAAACATAATATATGAATAACTTAGACATTGTCCTTGCTCTGTTTACAACGCCAAATCACAGATTTTCACGTCTTGACACAACGGCTGCATTTCAAGCCGCAACAAGTGCTACTTCAAACTGGGTTCAGCAGAATTCTTTCATGCAACTACAAAACCCATGTCTTCAACTTAATTCTAAAGCCTGTTCTAAACGTCGCATTTTACATGCGCCGAATGCATTCAAAACAATGGATATTGAGGCACTTCAGCTGATTAGCTATTGTTTTGAATGCATTTGGCACATGTAAAATGCGACGTTTAGAACAGGCCTAAGACTGTATTAACAAATTTACACGATTGTTAATATACGACGAATTATCTTTACTACCATTTATTTGAAGGAGTTTGTTTTGGCCGTCGTCGCGTTGCCGTCAGTAAAATCGTAAGGTCTCTAATATGATTCAACTGCAACGGGAGGATAACAACTTTCGGGGGAGGCTGACAAAAAATTGCCCGACGGAAAATGTTGAAAATCCGAAAGCTCTGAAACGCTATTTCCTGCATTGTGAGTGTACCAATGGAGAACACTCTGGTGCCATGCAGAAGATACTGTAGTCAAATTTGCGTTCACTGGTTGGACGCCGCGTTGAAAAATGTCCGAATTGAAAAGACATATTGAAAGGAATGGAGTATACGACGCCACTTGGTGTAAGCCGCAAGAAAGCATCTCAGATTTAAAGGGAAATGGCAATATATTTTTTTTTATTTTCTCATTTGAAAGAATTTTTAAGACTATATATAATACTCTTTTTTCATATCTTGCTTACTTTTACAAATATTCTGATTGAAAGGAATGAAATGTCCGCCATCTTCAACTTGTGTATAGATATGCACGTCACAACATGTCATGAGTTTTTGAAGGTGTGATAATGGCAATGGCGTATGATCCGCCATGTTTTTGGTTTCACTGTATATGGCTTCACATGAAACATGTTTCATGCCGAGCAGCTAGGTCCTCCATAGAGTGGATCGATATACCGGATATATCCGGTATACCGGTATTTGTTTAGATACCGGTATTGGAGATACTGACAATTTAAAAATACCGATATACCGACATTTCGGTATTTTGCTGCCTAATACCGAATTGAAACGCTATTTCAAGTCAAACTTGCTTACAATCACGTTTAGAAAGCAAAGTTAATTAGATTTACATCACCTTGTAGTACTGAATGATTCAACACTTCGACGCCCAATCGACGGCCTACTAACAATTGCCGCTTAGCGCCGTTAACATAGCTTGATAATGCGAATCTTGTGACATTTGCACTGGATATAGATTCATGTCTCGCTAATAGGGTTAGCGGTTAGGGTTAGGGTTAGGGTGGGGATTAGGGTTAGCATTATAAATAGCGAGACATGAATCTATAACCTTCGCACTAATAACAGTGGGTGCGTTCCTTTAGTGCATGCAATCCGGATTTGGATCTTCAAATCCGATTATCGATTTTCAGTTTCATTTAACAAAATCTTAAAATAGATTCGAATCTGATAAATCCACCTCAACATATGGATTTTTCGGATTCAATCTGAAACTTGATTAGGATTCAATGTTCCTTTTGAGCTTCTGGCGTTCTAGCATGTACCTTGACCCGACCGAAAGGTATAGTAGGACGGAAAACTATGGTGTAAAAATGGCGGGAAAACAGTAGGCGAATTCCGATTCTCACAATTCGTTCCATTTGTTTAACGAATCCAAACAAACCGAATCCTAAAAATCCAAATCTAGATTTACAAAAGAAACGCTCCTAGTATGTACCACATTAATATTTTGTCAAAACATGATTTTTCTCGACGGTCAGCAGTTCAGTTTGGCTTTAAAAAAACACGTTAAAAATACCGGTATTCTGATGGCGGTATATCGGTATTCGGTATTTGCGATATCGATCCACTCTAGTCCTCCAGTAATATAACATAGCTCAGTGGATAAAAATACGTGAGAATCCCCCGAGTGCATTATCGCACTTTATTATACGGCAAACATCACTTCCGGTGAAATGGCGGACTGTGATTGACCGAGAAGCACTTTCAGCGGTCCATTATTTTCCCGTAATGGCCGGCGGTCCATTACGTAAAAGCAAACGCATGCATTTTAAAACAGAACAGCAAAACTATTTGAAAATTATAATTTAATTTGTTATTAATAAGATATCTGCGAATAGTTTTTAGTGGTAAAGAAGGAACACATTGGTATTTTTGTTTTCTTCAACCAAACGTGTACCACGCTACTAATATGCATTTCAAATCATGCATTTCTTGTTTGTCGCAAGTATAAATGCCATATAATAAACTTTCTATTAACCTCGCTTGCTCGGTATGTACAGAGGAATATCGGACGTCGGTCTTTTTGTACAAACCTCGCCCTACTGGCTCGGTCTGTACAAAAAAGACCTCGGTCCGATATTTCTCCGTACAGACATCGCGTTAGAATAAGAATAGAATAATTTATTTAATGTCGAATGACACAGAGTGTGGTTGCCCAATCACTCGAGCCAGGGGCTCATGATAGAAGTGCTCGACAAGCGTTCGGTTAATAAGAAGTTAATAAACGCACGAGAAGAGTTTTTAAACTTTTTTAAATATAAGTAGAAGATATGA